CCCACCCTTGATATCATCCTCGTTCCCCCTCCTCTTATTTCATTATGACTCCTCGTTAGTTTTACTTGCACCCTTGGCTACTTATATTCAAACCTATTCTTTACTTCATTGTCTCCTACTGTAACATATCTCTCCGATAGTACTGATTGTATAGCGTGTTATTTTGATTTATAAAGTTTGTTTTCGACCGAAACATGGTGTGTTTGTGTAGCGAGTAACGTACGGAAATGCGGTCAAATAGCGAAAGAAATAACCCAACTTGATCACTCAGAAATTGCATCATCCTTCACATGTATATCTGCTCAAGTTTTCAATAGTCTAACGAATTAAAATTGGTTCATTCTCGGTCTCATTTTAGCATCGTGATCTACCGGTCGGAATTCACAATTTCGTGGCCTAATTTGACACGATAGCTTTCGTACGGTAGGGGGACAATTCCAGCCCTTTATCGGTTGGAATCCCTCCGTTAGGCGGTCGAAACTACCGGTCTAATTTCGACCCCTCTCACGCTCACAGAGGTCGACGCGTGGTGTGACGTTGACCCGGTCTAGGACGCGTTCAGCGCGACTCACTGAAACAGCGATCAAGTGACTTGATGTGGGTCAGCTTACAAGCTCAACGGCGGCCTGGAGGGGCACTGCATTCTTGACCTGTCTTCAATCATGCCCGTCACTCTGTCCAGCCCCCTCTCGTTGTATTCCATACCCGTAGTCTGGTTCATTGCGTTCGTCAACGCGCCCCTGCGTGTAAGCTTGATGATCGCAGACGAAGGCAGAGCATGCTGACGGGACTTCGTGACATTGGCAGACGTCGTACATTACGAAGGTTGCGGGGCGGTTCAACAAGTGGGTTCTGTCTACTCCCATATGCTTCCTCTGAATTGAACACTGCCCTGCTCATCAAGTGCAGACCCTAGAGGCAATGTGAAGCGTCTGCTGGAAAAGAATCCAGAAGCAGGTGCCCGGGCGGCAAGGATGGAGGCTGCGAATGCCGTGAGTCCCAGCAGATTCCCAAGGGCCCAATTAAAGGTGAGACACTACTGAGCTGACGTCCTTCTTGTGATACAGAACGGAAACGAAATCTTACCTCTGTGGGCCGCGGCAGTGGTCAGTTCGCGGGTCTGTGCAGCGCTGACCTTATCTAACTCATTCCACCTCCCACGGAAAGCTCGCCGGGAACTATGCGGGACTTGAGAACAAGACGCTGAACGTCTGCTCAGCCGCTTTGTGCGTTTCCTTCCATTCCCCTTCCGAGGCTATGCGTCATTTACAGACTCTCCCAAGCATCGCCCTCCGAGCCTTGTATAACTATATATACGTCAATCAGAAGACCCACTCTCAGGGCAATCTCCGGTAATGAGTCTACATTAAAGATTTCCAATGCGTATCCGCTAAACCCAAGCTAAACCTGCCATTTGCAGGACGATTACCTGGTTTGCCGGTGTTTGTAAGTCTTCATTGATCGGTATGTGATGCTCGGACAGCTCACCTCGGGACGGCTAGTCATACCCCTCGGACTGTTGATCAAGGCTGCTAACAAAGTTCTCGCGGGCGACCTCTAAGTGTAGGCGTGGCGTCTTAATTTGGACTGATTGTATACCGCGCTCTGCGAATCCAGCATGATCCTGCTGGCCCATGTAAGCTTGCACCTCTAGGCCTTATCCAACATCACCGCAGCCTGCCTCAGCACGCCCCTCGTCTCCTCATACGTCGCCATCTTTAGCGCTTCCTCGAATCCCACCCATTCCGCCCTTTCTACCTCTTCTTCCTGCACCTTCACCCCCTCCCCATCGCCCTCCACCAGCGCGACCCAGAACGTATTCTCCTTCTCCCGTCCATTGCGCGGGTTCGTGTAGCGCTCAGTAATCATACTCCCGTCGCATAGCACGCGCGCGACGCCCAGCCCCGTCTCCTCCCGCAGCTCGCGCAGCGCCGCTGCGAGATCGCTCTCGTCCGAAGGGTCCCGGTGCCCCTTGGGCAGCGCGATGAACGTCGATGGCAGCGATGGCGAGGTGTCGAGCTGCGACGCGGGGAGACGGGGCCCTGGCCGGAGGTGCTGGTGTACAAGCAGCACCTGCGCGTCTTGAGATTTGAGTGAGGTGCCGCTGCGGGCTGGACGCACGAGCACGACCCCGTAGCTGCGCTCTGTCACGGGCGGGCGACCCTCAGTCATATTGAGATCGATGGAGAGCGCGTCGACTGCTCCGATGATAGCGCACGCCCGCACGTGCCACGGAAATAGGGGCGTTTCCGAATGAGCATGGTATGAATACAAGGACGTAGCGAGGGTTATCAATACATCGGTCGGGGTGCAACATACAAAAACAGGGTCAGGCGGGTAAACCGACCCAGTAGTACAACACTTGGCCCTACAAGCCCAGTCAGCGACGATGTGACTTCAGAAGGGAGCTGTTCGACCCACAGTGCTGTTGTCCTTCTGCACGACCCTCCTGTTGACCAGGACAATTAGGCACTTGTTCACCCGCGCCTGGTTCAGGTCTGGAGGCACTATCAGCTCGTGCACTGCAGAGGAAAGTCAGACACGATGAGATAGGATAGGGAGCGGATAACCTACGTCTAACACCTTCGCCGGCTCTTTCCATGAGGGGCGTGATAACCATCTCGACGTGTCGGCGCAAGGTCTGGTAAAAGTTTTCAGCGCCGGTATCTCGTCGAGAAGTAATGTGCCTTACCGGGTCGTTCCCTCGGAACTCGAGCGGTAGAGTCTGTACTACTTTCTCAATATACACCTTCGTAATGAGGATCAGTGAACGAAAGGCGCTCATTCAAGCGAATAAACTCACAGCCCGCTCTTTCTTCTCCTTCGCAGTAAGCTTTGGCTTTCCCTTCTTCTTAGGTCTGGGTGCCTCCGGCTCAGTTGGAGCCGTCACAAATGTCGTAGCGTCCCCGGTGTATGTCGTTTCCGCGGGCCCCTCCGTCGCTGTCTTGTCGGAGCGTGAGGGCTCAGGTTCGGGGGGAGGTGGTTGCGCCGCAGCCAAGGCTTCCTGCTCTGACATCCCGTTCAGTGAGCTATCGCGTATTGGACCTGGATAGTTACCTGCTCTGCGCTTCGCCAACTCGTACGAAATCTCTGTGGGTTCCTACTACCCGCATTGAGCCATTTCCCGGCTATCAGAGCACATAACGCACCTGCGGCCAGTCCACCGTCAGCGAGTTCATCGTCATCATGTACAGATAGCTCGCGAACGCCTCGTTGAAGGTCTCGAGCGACTCGCTCAGGCCTTTCAGGCCCTCGACATTGGCCTGCAACGCCTCGGCTTCGTCGAGCAGCTCGGACATGGCGGGCTCCAGGAAGCCGAGGCCATGGGGGGCGTCCGGGAACGCGCTCGAGCGCGAGAGGGCGAAGAGGGAGCCCTGCGAAATGCGTCGCAGGGGTGTGCGGTGCGGCGTTGCTCCCGGCCCTGGCATGGTACGGAGGTGAGACGCGTGCAGTAAATACGCGCAAATAACGCCATTGTGGCTGAAAGTCGAGTCAGCAGCTTTTCGCTTTCAATTCCTGCACAAACGTCGCGTACGTACTCATCCCTTTCCGTTGTGTATAACAAGCTGACTTGGGAGGGACGAACAGATACCTTTTATTCAACTTAATTCTTGAAGCGTGACGCCGATACGCTAATATGAACGGGACGGAGGTGACCCCCGGATACAAATCCATTGCTACGCGATACAGACAAACGGACAACTGGTTACAGCTAGCACATCAATACAGACAAGGCAACACAAGCAAGCAAATGGCGAGATGCAGATCGAACATTATAGGGCTATAGGGCTACATCAAATCAAACAGAAACCGATACGTAAGTAATAAATTCAACGTGTTCAACACAAATCATCTTTGCCAGGCGAAAGGATACCGGACGTCCTCTATGAGCGCAGTTGTGCTCTAGCCACGAACACCATTTCTGGAGGATGCAGAACCTTCGATGTGATGGCCGCAACATACGACAGGCACGACGCCGAGACATGTAAGGCGTTTCTGGCCCTCCGACCACCCCTCGTCGTCATCCATCTCAGTGATGGAGATCCCCTCGTGGAGCCCTTCGAGTGACGCTGATCGGAGCCGCTAACCAAGTTCAGCAGGCATACGGTTTGAACGACATTGATCCAGGTAGAGAGCTCTGTGCTGGCTGACGGTCTTGAACTTTCGCGGTGACAAGCCAGAATCGGCGCGATGGCGGGATACCAGACCACGACTTTCTCTGTGGTACACCGAAGACCGATTTCAAGGTTATGGATTCCGATTCCTTCCAACCATCCAGTATCGTCGGCTGCCTTTTATCAGGTAGTCCGAGGTCTAACTTCCAGAAACAGCTCGAAGGGGGACGCCAGTCTACGACGCTACTCATTTGCTGCGCGAAAACAGGTGGAGGCTTTGGTTTGCCGAAGCCAGAGATAGACTTGGGCGTGGATGGTGAGGTGCGTGCTCTGAGATTATTTGCTGAGGGGAGCGGTACCTGCTTACGGGGGACCTCCGTCGAGGTGTGCAACGACTGGTTTGCACTTGGAGCTTCAATAGAGGGCATCGCTTTGGGAGCGTCCTTTATCTCCACTTTTTCGTTCGAAGGAGCCACGGCCGCCGGCTTAAACTTCGGTACAGAGGGATTTGGTGGTTCTCGCATTTTCGCGAGGCCATCCGCGAGAGCCGTCGCCACTGAGCTCAAGGTCTGAAGGGCGTCTAATCCAGAGGCATCATCACCGGATTTGGGAGCGTTGTTCGGAGGCCACCTCAGGGAGTCCACCTCCTCCAGAGGCGCACCATGGATCGGAGCGCCCAAAGGGCTGCTGTCATCTGTGTCCTTCGTCAGGTCAATTGGATTCGAAGGGCCGCCTGCAGCTGCAGCAGGATTGGTGGCTACGTTGAACAGGCTGTTTGGCTTTACTACGGTGTCCAAAATGCTCGTACATTTTGAAGCCGCATCCGAAGGGCTGGTTGCCTTCACATCCCAAAGGTTTGTGGGCTTCAAGGCGGCACCCAGAGGGTTGGTAGGCTTTACAGCAGCATCCAACGGGTTGACCGGCATTACAGCAACACCCAGGGGGTTGGGGGGCTTCACAGCTGCGTCCACAGGGTTGGCAGGTTTTGCGAGAGCATTCGAGACATTCCCAGCTGCGACAAGCGGCGGCGCATCCATATTCACTTCTTCGGGCTCCACCGCAACGGGGTACAGCACGATCGGATCCACGTCCATATACCCTTCCACCCAGCGTTCATACCACCGGCGCGGGACGCCGTGGGCTACCAGCGCGCAGATATTCTCAAAGAATCTGCGCAATTTGCTTGGCCGTGCTTGTTTCTGTCTGGCCTCAACCCTGCGCTGGTGAGCCTCAGACCGACGGAGGACGGTCTTGCATTCTAGGGCGGGCTCTGGTGCGTCTGCTTTCACCTTCGGCAGGGGAACGTAGGGCGAAATCCGGCGGCGATTGCGGCGGGAGATCCAAGACGAACGAGGGCTCGGTGGTGGGGAAGGATTGCCCCTGGTTTGAGCCGCGGGCATATCCACCTCCACCTCTGCGCCCTTCGCTCCGTCTACTTCCATGTCCATAGACGAAGCATTTCTGGATGAGTCCTGTGACCTTACAGGAGCTCGAGGCGCCGGTGTAGCTCTCAACATCGTAGGGTGGAATGTCTGCGTGGTCTGTTTCACGGGCGTAGATGCCGGAAGGACCTTGGTGGGTGCTGGCTTCGGTGCAGCTACCGATGTAGCAGGTTGGAATGTCTGCCTAGTCGGCCTCACGGGCGCAGATGCTGCAACGACTTCCACAGGAGTTGGTCGCAGCGGCGGCGGGGGTGTAGTCCTCGGACTCGGGGGAGTCACCACGATACTGGGGGCCAACTTTGGACTGTGCCATGGCACAGGGGATGGTGGGCGCATCTGCGGCACTGGTGGAGGGGGCATAGAAGCGGACTCGTTACTCGCACCGGCCTTTCGCCCTTGGAGCCTTAGCTCTGGCACCGGAGTGGATATACGCTTCGGCGAGACTGGCGGAGGAGGCATGGAAGTGGCGTCGTCGCTGGTACTGGTGGTTCGCCATTGTGGTCTGGGCTCTGGCACCGGAGTGGATATACGCTCCGGCGGCACTGGCGGAGGAGGCATGGAAGCGGGATGGTTGCTCGGGCTGGTGGTTCGCCATTGCAGTCTAGGCTCTGGAACAGAAGTTGACAAGAGCGGCGGCGGAGGTGTGCCGGCAGGAGGGCTCATGCCTGCGGGAGGGCAATCGGCTATATACCTTGTCGGCGGGAGAGGCACAAACCTTGTTGGCACTGGCGGTGGAGGCATGGATGCGGCAGGGCTCATGCTAAGTGGAGAGTACTGTGATCTCTGCACCGGAGGCACTGTGGGCAGAGGCGCTGGCTGCATTTGCGGTGCTGACGGGGGATCGTGGACGATGCGATCGCCGGAATCAAGAGGGAGATTCATGATGCCAGCGAGGTCCTCCAGCTCCCCGTCTTCCACTGCCTTACCCTTTCCCTTGGCTGAGCTCGGTATCCTGGCCTCGTCTTCCTCTTCTTGCTCCTGTTCTTCTTCTTGCTCCTGCTCTTCTTCTTGCTCCTGCTCTTCTTCTTGCTCCTGCTCTTCTTCTGGTTCCTCCTCTTCCTGATGGTCCCCCCGACGCTCATCGTCCTATCAAGAGAGAAAATGAGAACCCGAGGGAGGAATGACCGGAGGCGCGATCGACTGACCCCATTGTTGCCGTCCTCGCCATGGCCGTCACCGTCGCCGTTTCCACTCCCACTTCCGTTCTGGTTGTTACCGTCTCCTTCTTCTTCATTCCCACTCCCACCACTGCTGCTTTCCTCTTCATCACCCCAGTCCACCTCATCTGCACCGTCATCGTGATCATCTGCAGGTGCACCACTTCCGGAAGCGCCAGTGTCGTCCATGGGTTCAGGGTTTGTGCAGACAGGTTTCCGGAGCTCCTCAGGTGGCGTGGCGTCGTCTTTCTCTCCCTGCTGTGGGTTGCTCTGCAACGACAACCCGTCGATGGTGGACTGCCGATACGACGCCACACGGAGTCAGGCGACACACCTCACTTAGCGAACGACCGGGAAACATACCAAGAGCGCGTCCATTGCTAAGGTCTGTTCTATGTCGCGGAGGAGAGCCTCTGCTTGTCTATACCGCTGCTCCTTGCTAATCTCGACTGTGTTGTCTTCCGCCTCTGTCTCGTAGCCGCTGGTATCCTTACGGTCTTGTCTACTGAGCTCTTGCGACATTGCGGTATACTGGACAAGCGCGCCACCGCGCGTAACTGTAGTCGAATATCAATTTAGTCCGATGTGGCGGGCTGCAGTGATAGAGGACGCACTTCGCCTGGCGTCCCCTGCCTTGGACGCCTGTCTGGCTTTCTTCATCCTCTCTGCTTTCAATCTTTCCTTTAATTTTGCGATCGTGAGTTCACCAATGATCACACTGCGTGCGGCGTCAGTAAGTACAACTGAGACACTGATGTTACTCGACTAACTCCTTCGATTTGCCAGGGCCGTGTCCGGAGCCCGGCTTGCGCGAAGGAGGAACGGTGATCGTGAACTTGCGCGGTTGACGAGGTGGTAGTACCGCAATCGCCATGGTCTCTCGAAACTAGAAGTAGATAAATCGGTCGATATGTCGAGCAGTCGCGCGATAATCAAGTGTAGCGATTTGAGTTCAGTCTGTGGCTAGCTGTGGCACAGGGAGCGTCTCGCAGATAGTCGAGCGTTGCAGTCGGGGGTGATGGTAAGAGTGAGAGGCAGTGTGGCGGGAACATGTGGCGTCTCTTATGGACAATAGCCAATGCTGGGATGGCGCGTTGGCCCGGTCGACGCTTTGGCCATGACTGCCTTGTACTTCGGAGACAACGTGATCGCCCAATTACTCTCAATTAGGCAGAGCACGTGAATTTACACCGCCACTGATTACAGACCCTGCCAGTGGCCCAGATGCTGTACACCCTATTATTGGGTACGGTGCCACCTCCAGTTTTGCTCCCGTTGGCTGGCGGGATGTCCCAAGACTAGCTGAGGGTATACTGCACTCAATAGTGAATGGAAACTGGCAGCATATGTTGAGTTACATTGTATCATTGTACTGGTGAGCAAGTCAAAGACTGCCTCGGCCGCAGGTGTGGGCGGTACAGTCTGTAGTCTGACACGGCGTAGCGGCGACGTCCTGCGGTAACCGCCTGAGAAGGGTGAATATTGACATCTGGTACACACCAGTATCGAGCGTATACCACAAGCTGAAACAAGAATTCAAGAATACAAAAGCATTAATAATTGAGCGTGATCTAGTCAGAGTTGGTATGATTAAGCAATCCCCGATAGCCAGGCATATAAGACTCCCACCTCCAGTACATTCCCCAGGCCTCGTCAGCCCACTGAAGCTCGGAAAATGTATGAATCAGCAGCATCCAATTGCGCTATTGCACGCCATAGCACATGTGGTGTGCAGTATATAAACCTACACATCGGTGAGTGTCTCTAAGTTCGGACAACTTAATCGAACCACAACACATCCCCTCATGTCTGCTGTAACAACGAACGTGACCTACGCCGTTTTCCCCAAGGACGGCTCGAAGCTATTCTACACCATCACATCTGAGCCGGGGAAGAAGACACGATCCGACAAGAACTTCACCACAGAGGACTACCAGGTGGAGATCGAGAACGTGCGCGGGAAGGAGGAAAAGTTCACCCTGGACAAGAACGGGTTCCAATTCTTCAGGAGGGCAACCAAACACACCGACTTCACGGACGACGAGCGGATCCGGCAGGAGTACTACCCCGAGAGTGAGGAGCTGCTCAAGGAGCTAACGGGAGCCAGCCGAGTGCTCTTTTTCGATCACAGTAAGCACAGAATGGTCCCTGGGACGAAAGGAAAATGCTGATGAGGATATCCTGCAGCCGTCCGCCGTCGCGTCGCACCAGAGAACACGGATGCGATAGCCCAGCAAGATGCGTCTGGCATCCGGCAGCCCGCCCCGCAGGCCCACGTCGATCAAAGCACCGCAGGCGCCATCGCGCGCGTCCACCGCCACCTCCCACCTGCAGACGCAGAGGCGGCGCTGCGCCGGCGCTTCCAAATCATTAATCTCTGGCGTCCTGTAAAACATGCGGCGCTAGACTGGCCGCTCGCGTTCTGCGACTACCAGAGCGTCGATGTGGAGGGTGGGGACGTCACCCCGACGGAGCTGCGGCGAAGTGACTATACCGGCGAGACGATGGCCATCAAGTATAACCCACAGCATAAGTGGAAATACTTGCGTGCGATGGAGCCGGACGAGTTTGTCCTGATAAAATGGTGAGAGGCGCCCTACTGAATTGCAAGTGAGCGAGAGCTCACCCCGTCCGTGCAGTTATGACTCGAAAGATGGAGTGGCCAAGTTTGTGCCTCATACAGCCTTCAAGGATCCCAGCACTCCTCCTGAGGCCCCCCTGAGGGAGTCTATCGAGCTTAGAGCTCTCGTGTTCTATGACTGAGTAGGGAAGAACTCTCGAGAAAGCAATCGTCATCGCTGTAACGGCTGCGAGAGCCTGCCGCTCTCAGTTTGTATACTTAACATTAGGTACTCTGGGCCTGCGTTCTGGCTCTTAGTAATAACCTGCATCGCGGAGATGAAGTCATTGCAATGGAGCTGTGAGGCCATAGATAATGGGGTTCTTATATGTAGCCATGCATCTGCTCCCGTGAATTGACATGCGCACGGTAGATGCAAACCAATCTGTCAACCAGGACAGTGAGTCGTATTTGAGGACAGGGACGCTCCGACGTCAACATGAGACTGAAAACTCACATGACTACAAGCAATTGGAAAGCAAACGTACCGAGCAAGAAGGCAACGATCAGCCATCCATTCGAAAAAGTATCCCTGCCGTCTCCCTTGACCGGGTAGTACACGGATAAAGTGCGTGAGGCGAGCGAGCGCAACTCCCGCCGCGATGTAGAACCGTCAGCCGTCGGGCTCTCGATCGGACTTCGGTTATCAGGTGCACTCTGTGTCTCCTGTGTCAGCGCTCAGTAATCCAAGGCATCAATAACTCCTCTGTGTCTCGGACGGACATACATAAATGGAATAGGCACGGAGCTATGCATTGAAAATCGTACACACCAGACGGCAGCCCAAAAGGACGATGATTAAAGGCGCAAGCCTTGTTCGAGATTATTCGCCAACATAGACTGCCAGTCCGGCCTGAGAACCAGGAGATTCGCATCATAATCCGGGATGCCCATCCGGCATAAGATGCACGATCGTTCCACAAGCAAGCAGCTCTATGCCGATGCTTATCCCCCCTTTTGCCTGCATGGCAGCAGATTGGGCTCTTAGGGCAGCAACCTGCGCCTGGAAGACGCCCACCTGTTGCGAGGAGAGGAAGTCGATGGCATCTTCATACGTGGAGACGAGAGTGGATGATAAGCGAAAAAGCTTCGCGGGGTCGGCAGAGGCGGGTGGTTTGGAGGTGAAAGTGGGTTCGAGTTTCAGATGGAGAAGGTGAGTGTCAATCCGGGAGGGGTGGTCCCGAGGGCTTGATTCAAAACCAAGCACAGGCTGGCTTTGTGAATCTTGATTTTGTGACATCGGGACATTATGCAATTGTATCAAAAAGGTGATGTTCGTACCTGAAGGAAGGGCTTCGACTTGCTCTCAATGGTCAGTGCATCCAGTGTACTACCGCCAACTGGCAGCCCGCCGTGCGCTTTTTTCTTACTTTCTTTCATGGGCAGAGGTGACTCCGGTCTGCGGCAGTACTGGCACTATTTTGCGCCCTGGCTCAACGGGCCCAGTTGTCTCGACATGGTATGTAGTCGAGAGGAAAGAGGGAGAGATGTCTCAGGAGGCAACAGTCGGTTGGCTGACAGGCTGGTCACGATTTCTATCCGACGGTTCGGCCAAGATACATCAGTTCCATAATTTCAGCTAAGCCATGTACAAACGTTGTCACTTCGAAAACCGCACACACCGAATGGTAGTCCGAACGAAGCCACTTAGAGGCGCAAGCCTCTCTCAAAGGTCCCCGCCAACACAGACTCCCAATCCTTTCTGAGATCAACACCTTCCAAATCGCCGTCTGGAAGACCCACGGGCATGACGTGCATCATCGGTCCACAAGCAATCAGCTCCACGCCGATCCCCATACCGCCCTTGGCTTTAAGAGCCGCAGACTCTGCTCTGATGGCGGCAATCTGCTCATGCACCGGTCCCATACGGCGGATCACTGCTGGATCGGACGCAAGGTAGTCGAAAGTTTCGTCGTAGGTAGAGAGCATAGTGGAAGAGAGGCGGAAGAGCTTGGCAGGGTCGGCGGACGAGGACGGTTTCGCGGTAAAAGTGGGTTCGAGGTGCACGTACAAGAGATGGGTGTCGATCCTAGAGGGGTGGTCGCGCAACTCAAGGGCTTGTATAAATGCCCAGCATAAGCCAGCTTTATGGATCTGGGTATTCCTAGAATCGCAAAATTCCCTCCATATCTCATAGGACAATTTACGTACCTGAAGGAAGAGCTTCAGCTTGCTCTCGATAGTGTTTGCATCCAGGGAAACGCTGCCCAATGGCAGCCCAACCTCTCCTTTTCTCCTATCCTCTTTCAGACGCGATCTTGTCTCCGTATTCACCTTGCATAGTACTTTATGCTTCGGCCAGTCATTCTTCTGGCATTCTTTGTTCTGCAAGACATCAATAGATAAAAATGATGAGCCTGGCAATGTGATATACACAATAATGTGCTCGATGGCAGCTCGAGCAACTGAGAAGCTTGAAGGCAGGGGGTGACTCGGGCTTGTAACAGTGCTGGCACTGCTTCGACTCCTGGCTCAGCGGGCCCAGCTGTTTTGACATGATGATAGAAAAGAAGAAAGAGGGGTTGCGGCTGAGACAATATCACGATTCCGACGCCCTCCTCGCTAACCACGAGTTAGCGGGTATAAAGCCTTCATAACGATAGTCAGAATTATGTGCACTAATCTGGAACGCAATTAACCATACTGTAGGCCTGTTATTCCCGACGAAGGTGGACGTCGATGGCCAACCGCCTTGTCTCAGTAAGTCGTGGCGGCGGCAAACGCGGTTGTGGCTGAGGCCTGAGGCGCGCAAGGGGCGCGCGACGCGTTCACCCTTGACTAAGTACCCTACCGTACGCCTTTGGTGGCTTTCGGATCTGGCAAAATGCCGTTGATTCGCATCGAAGTATGCGACTTCAAGTCATACAGGTAAGGAACTGAAGTATCGAGAGTTGGGCTGTGATTTACATCCTTCCCAGGGGCCATCAAACCATCGGACCATTTCGCAACTTTACCTCAGTTATCGGGCCCAATGGAGCCGGGAAATCCAACCTTATGGACGCCATCTCATTTGTACTGGGCGTTAAGAGCGCCCAGCTGCGGAGCAGTCAGCTAAAGGACTTGGTGTACCGCGGGAGGAGGCTGGCTCGCGGCGGTGTGGACGGTCAGGATGCGTCCTACATCAGCCAAAGCGGTCAGGACGAAGAAGGGGACGAGGAAGGAGAGGGCGAAGGCACCGCAAAGACCGCCTGGGTCCTCGCTGTCTTCGAGGACTCTGCGAAGAAGGAATGGCGGTTTCAGCGAACGTAAGTGCCTGCTTTCGATCGCCGGCTCAGTGCTGTTTCATTTTGGCTTCCTAGGATATCCACGACCGGTGCCTCTGAATACAAACTAAATGGCAAAGTCGTGACCTACGCCGCCTACAACGCCGCGCTGCAGTCGCACAACATCCTCGTCAAGGCGAAGAACTTCCTCGTCTTCCAGGGCGACGTCGAGGCCGTCGCGTCGCAGTCGCCTAAGGAGCTTACGCGGCTGATAGAGCAGATCAGCGGATCGCTCGAGCTCGCGGGCGAGTACGAGAAAGCGAAGGAGGCGCAGGAGCGTGCAACGGAGAACGCCACGTTCAACTTTACCAAGCGCCGCGGCATCGCGGGTGAGATCAAGCAGTACAAGGAGCAGAAGTCCGAGGCAGACCGTTTCGAGGCGATGTGCCAGGAGCGAGTGAGTCTTTGTGTGCTGTTGGGAATTTGAGCTCATGGAACAATATGTATCAGGATCAACTCTTGCTGCACCGTATACTGTGGAGGCTGTTCCACATAGAGGAAGGCTTGGAGCAACACGCTCGGGAGATCAACGCGCAGAGCCGTACTCTCGAGGGACTGCGGGAGGAACAACGAGAACACGACGAAGAGCTCGACGCTGCCCGGGCGGAGCAGGCGAAGGCCAGATCCAACGTCATGCAGAAAGAGAAGAGGATCAAGAAGGCGGAGAAGGGGCTCGAGGCTAAAGTACACTTGTTCGCTGCATTCACAGTATACCATGGATCTAACTCTACCTGTGTACAGAAACCGGACCTCGTGGCTGTTGAGGGCCAGATTGCGCATTCCGCAAGGAAACTGAGGAACGCGCAGAATATCCGAGAACAGGTCGCGAAGGAAGAGCATAAGCAGCAGGAGAAGCTCACCCAGCTGCAGAAGGAATTGGCTGAAGTGAGGAAATTGGCTGATGCTGCGCAAGGTCAGTAGGCGTGCATCACCAACAGCAGGGTCTGACTGGAACGTTGCTCAGAGGCGCAGAGAAGAGCTTCGCAGAACAACTTCTCGTTGAGTAAGGAAAGTCTCCAAGAATACAATCGGCTGTACGTGCTCGTTATGCCTATCCCGACTCACGGAAGAGAGGACCGCTTGATTAATGCTTCTGTATCTAGGAAAGCCGAAGCAAGCATTCTGGCCGTGGACGAACGGCAGGCTTTGGATACATTGGGCCGGGAACTCAAGACCGTAAAGCGGACACTGGCTCAGGTGAAGGACAAGTACGAACAGCTAGAGCAGAAGAAAGAGAAATTGACCGAGGAGTCAAAGTCGCAAAATTCCAAGAAGTCGGAGCTGGAAGAAAGAATTTCGTCGCTGCAGAGCGACTTGTCCGCTGCCAAGCAGGAGCTGGACAACCAGCAGTCAGAGCGGACGAGGATCAGGTAAGGTGGTAGCAGTCGTGGTAACGGTCCTGACAGACACGACGATATGATGTAGTCAACTAGAGACAGAACTTAACGAGAAGCTCGCAGAAGTATATCAGAAGATTCTGCAGGCGGGGATGGACCAGCGTGAGTCCGAGCGGGAGATGAAGCTGAAGGAAGTTCTTACTGGTTTGCAGCGGATCTTCCCAGGTACGTGTTGACTGACCAAATCGCTCCCCTTTCTCGACGTCTTATATACTGATACAGGCGTCCGTGGCCGAGTTGTCGACTTATGCAAACCCTCGGCACGGAAATACGAGACCGCTGTGTCCGTCATCCTCGGTAGGAACATCGATGCTGTCGTCGTCGACGAAGAGAAGACGGCCATCGATTGCATCGAGGCAAGTCTTTGTGATCGGTCCTGTAGATGCAGGGCTTACATCGTGACTTCAGTATATGCGCAACCAACGAGCCGGCCAGGCGACATTCATCCCACTCGACACAATCCAGGTCAAGCCAGTCAATGATAAATTCCGCTCCTTCGCCAGCAAAGGAGCCAGGCTCGCCATTGATGTAATCGAGTACGAACCCGCGGTGGAAAGGGCAATCCATCACGCTTGCGGGAATGCCTTAGTATGTGATACAATGGACGTGGCTCGATACGTGTGTTACGAGAAGGGTCAAGAGGTCAAAGGTGGGGTTGTCGAACGGATGCCTTCCTGGACGATGGCACTGACGATGTCATGTCTAGCGGTGACTTTGGAAGGTACTATCATCCATAAGAGCGGGTTAATTACCGGTGGCCGCAGTACACATGGTACTGGGAAAAAGTGGGAGGAAAAGGATGTGCAAGGTAACGTAACTTGTTCATGGTCGAGCTTATACTTGACGTTAAGGCACCTCTCAGGGTTGCAGCGTGTCCGTGACTCGCTCCTATCCCAGTTGCGCGAATTGGCCAAGAATAAGCCCAGAGGTAAAACCGACGACACTTTGATAGCTGAGATCACAAGGCTGGAGAATGCCCTCACTGTCGCCAAGGACGACCTGGTACAGTAACGCATTCCTATGTCCTCTGCTGCCGTGCTAAGGATATACTTTAGAGTGCCTGCAAGCTGCGACTAAACGGCATCCGGGACGAGCTGAAACACGTTACACAAGAGCTGAAGAAGACCACTCCTGAATTAAACAAGGTACGATCCGCCTTACCACCTTCGTTGGACTTGCCAAACTTTCCGCCCTTTAGACTCAAGCTCAGCATGATTCCTTGGAAGAGAAAATCATAGAGCTGTCGTTCGTCGTCAATGCAGCGGAGGACGGGGTTTTTGCAGTGTTCTGCCGTCAAATCGGAGTCTCCAACATTAGAGAATACGAAGAACGACAGCTCAAGCTCACACAGGAGGAACTTGAGGCCCGTAACCGGTACGAGACCCAAATAGCGAGATTAGGCCATCAGTACGTATTTCATTCATACGAGCATGCGCTAGAATCCTACGCACTTGCACAGGTCTCAGTTCGAGGAAGAGCAATTGAAGGCGACAAGGGAAAGGCTTGCTACCTTGGATGCTACCATTCGCAACGAAGAGGTCAACTTGGTCAGGCTTGAGGCTTCGAAGGCATCAATACTGGAGGAGCTTAGCGAAGCCGAGTCTAGCATAGCGTCACTCCAGGAAGAACTACAAGCTCTGAACGAATCATTGGAGGAGAAAACGAAGGTTGTGGACCGAGTGAAACGGACAGCTTCGAAGGCCACGAAGGCTCTGGAGCAGACCCTCAAAGAAATTGCATCTCACGTAGGTTTGCTGCATCATCGTGCTAGACCATAGATCCATTGAGGCTTTCTCGGCAGAATGATGAGATCGAGAAATTAGGATTGGAACGATCGGCGATATACCGCAAGTGTCGCCTCGAGAACGTGAACTTGCCCCTGCGGGAGGGAAACCTCAAAAATGTACCTATGGAGGAAGTGAGTTTCCGGTAGCTGTCAATCAACTTCAGTTTACTGAGCTGTTCCAGAATTTGCGGGAAGAAGTGGCTATGGATGTCGACGAGGAAGGCGGTGTGGAACGACCTAAGCGAGTGCCTGACTACGGTCTTGAAGTTGACTTCGAAATCCTTGACGAAGATGAGCGAGAAGTACGTATTACTGCTTTAGCGTCTTTTGGCCCATCTGATGGTCTATGCCGTACAGGATGGGTCTGCCGACAAAGGCACAGAATTGGAGGACGCGATATCCAAGCTCAACGAGGACATTGAACGGATGGCCCCCAACTTGAAGGCTGTGGACAGGTATGTTGTGCTCGTTACAATCGTGTGATTAGTTAACACCCCTGCTAGGCTGGAAGACGTTGAGTCGAAGTTGCTCGAGACAGAGAAGGAAGCGGATAAGTCAAGAAAGGAGTCCAAGACAGCTCGCGATCAGTTCAACGACGTCAAGAAGCGACGGTATGTTCAAATACTCAACTTATGTAGACGTTTGCCGATCGCATCCATCACAGCTGTGAATTATTCAACAAAGCCTACAACCACATCTCCGAATGCATTGATCAAGTTTACAAGGACTTGACCAAGGGAAAAGCAGCTCCCATGGGTGGGGTGGCATATCTGAGTTTGGAAGATAGCGAGGTGCGTGCGTCTAAAACTGCCTATTTAACCACCGCTTACCTTCCTGCAGGAGCCCTATCTAGGCGGCGTCAAGTATCACGCTATGCCTCCCATGAAACGTTTCCGAGACATGGAGCAGTTGTCTGGAGGTGAAAAGACCGTAGCTGCCTTGGCTCTTCTCTTCGCAATTCATAGGTATATGCCTCCACATTCGATGCTCTTCTTGCGTGACCTGAGTTGTGTTTAGTTATCAACCTTCTCCTTTCTTCGTCCTCGATGAAGTCGACGCTGCATTGGACAACACGAATGTTGCCAAAGTCGCCAACTATATCCGTTCTCATGCTTCCGACACTTTCCAGTTTATCGTGATCAGTCTCAAGGGATCCTTATACGAGAGGGGCCATTCTTTGGTCGGAATATACCGGGATCAGGATGTGAACAGTTCTCGCACTCTGACGTTAGACGTGAGCGTTCTCTCTGCTGGAATCGTATCGCATGCATTTTCTTGGTACTGACGCTGCGTCTCAGTTGACGCAATACGATGACTGATGCTGGCTCTGCCCGGCTTGCAGATAAGATTCGCACCCATTTAGTCCGTCCAGTGCAGGGTATGCTCCATGTAGCTTTAGTATCATATATCAGTATAATATGTATCGCAGATGTGCCTTCGGTGTACGATTGCGGGGAATGATAAAGGGTACAAAACGGTGATAGCGAACGAGTGAGTGACTAGGACTGGTACACATTAGACGATAAGCGAGAAAAGATGCAACGTCAAGACATAAATAACAACATAATCAAGTCGAACTCAAGGAGCATAAAAAGTGTCGTATGGTACCTTAGATATGCACAGATCTATGACAAGCCAGCCTGTTCGCCGAATGTGGTTTCGCTTGCTTGTCGGATGACCTGAGGACGTAGATGACGAGCGGCAGCTGCTGAAAACGGATCCTCTTCTTGGTGATGAGGGGTGTCGGCAAAATAGGACTGAATTATTGACATATGTCCCGGAGTTGACTGCAAGGTCGGGGGAGAGGGGAAGTCCGACAGCCCAGACATCCGCGAGGTGCTTGAAGTACTTGTCATGTAACTGGAACGAGTGACAGCCGAATTAGGAAGTGCTAAGCTAGAATGAGAGACAACCCTTTGCGTAGAGTCTGCGTTCCCCGAGATAGGATGTTCCTGCATAGGGTCTCCGGCTTCACCGTCTATCAACGACAGATGTGCTGATACGCGATGATCACTAGACACTGCGGGCGGCGTGGAGACTGCTTCGATAACACCTAAGCGGAATTGTGCTAGAGCCACATGAGAATTTTCCAGTCTCACTTGTAATTGAGAACTTACTGGTATGGCCACCATCCGACGAAGGTTCCAGGATCGAGGAAGCGCGAGATGATTCCACATCTTCAGGTATGTTTAAGGCCGGCTCCAGAGTTGATAAATCGCCCCGGTCACTTGGTAGCCGCAGGGGTAACGTAGTGGTGTTGGGGGAATAAGTGCTGGAACCAGCGTCGTTCTCCCGCCTGACAGAGGGATCAAACAAATTGTGCAGGGGACGCTGCCCCTTGAGTCCTCCAAACCGGCTGCCCCACATGGGAGGATGTTCATAGCTTTCCGGGCGATCAAACCCAGTCTCATCTTTGAGAGCTTCCAGCTCTTCAGTCAATCGACGAGCGAGAGTAGTGAAACCGCTGCCAGTTCGGCTTCTAGGGGAGCGAGGGGTCTCGGGATGAGCACTAACGCTGGGTTCGCGCGACAAGACTTCTTTAAGCTTTTCACTGGACGGCGTCCTGCTAGTTTCCTTGGGGGAGGGTTTGTAGAAAAGGTCACGGAACCGCTCAAGGTCATCTGAGCCGCCGAAACCACGCGGGGAGTACTGAAGCGAATCCACGTCAGACAAGACGTCAGGGGAGGCTCTCCGCGGAATATCAGGAACAGGGGACGCGAAGATAGGGTACTGGCTGTCCGCAGATGACGCAAGAGTGTGATTTGAAAAAGGTTCCGAGAGTTGCGTATGCCGCTGAGGGAGAGTAGGTCTTCCTGCCCCGGCTTTCGAAGACTTCAACTTTTCATCCGGTATGGTGAGCAGTTGATGGGATGTCCCAGTAGCAGTACCCAGACCCGCATGATTTCGCAGGATCTCTATCCGGTCATCGTCCCAATCCCGCGCGGCAGCGAAACCGTGACCTTCGCTGGTACCCAGCCCACTGTCTCCGCTGCCCGTCCTCCTCAACGCGTAACTCAGCACATCTCCCATCGCGAGCGCATCACTGTTGGCTCGGCTTCTAGCAGCATATGCATGTTTGAAACCGCCCTCATCTTCAGGCGGGGGCACAGTGATACTCGCCGACGGCGAGTTCCTGATCTCTTCCGGCAAGATTTCGCGCACCTGCCCCGAGGGCAATTGCGCATACATCCTTGACTTTCCGCCTGACCCTTCGCTATTTTCCCTAGAATGGCCACCTGCCGGCTGAGAACTGGTCGAAGCGTATGGGTGAGAATACGGGTGTAGTATGGCGTGGGGTGGAAGTCGATGACGGACTGACACATCGTTGATATCCGCCATTGGGAGAGTGATGGCGACCCGCGGTGTCGTTGGATGGGGCCCAGCGTAATCCGACTTGGGAGGAGTGGCGCGCATAACTTCCGAAGGCGAGATGTTGTGTGGGTTCGAATACATCGCATAGGGATGGGCAGGGAACCTGATTGGCTCCTGCGCACTGAAATCCTTCGAATGGTCGTCGGAAGGCGGAGGAGACGAGATAGCTAGACCGACAGCTTCTGCCGGCACACCCAGACCTGACGGCGTAGGCGAGGGTGCGGGGTGATCTTGCCGCTCTCCTCCACTGGCAGTTATATCAACCATAGCCAGAGCAGCCGAAGCAGGAGCATAGGCTTTACTCGCTACAGCAGGGGTCACAATGACGACCGCTTCGTCCGTGGAACCCTCATTGTCCCGATTAGACCCGGTATCGCCTGAGCGAACGAGCCTAGGCACGTCGCCTCTACCAGTGTCGTTTAACGGACCTGTGTGACGCTCAGCAATCGGCGTGACCAGATTCTCGGCTGAACCGATACCACACAACGTCGCAGCGTTCTTGGCAGCCTTGATAGCGGACTTACCCCAGCTTTCGTTGCGCGAGTGGCCGCGTTTGTGGTGCGAGTTCTGGGACAAAGAATGCGAGCGTGAATGTGTGTTCGCATGGGAGGTGATCGTCCGGGACTGCCAAGAGTTAGTTCCCACACCGACGGAGCCCGTCTGGGTCGTTGGAGACCTCGGCTCGTGGATCCTGGGTGCAGCAGCCTGACTCCCCAGTAGCGTCCGCTCAGCGAGTATGTCGAGCTTCTCGGTAACTTTACCCTCGAAATCCTTTCGACGGACACGAGGATGCGTCGCGGTCAGAGACCTTGCGCGGGACCGGGAGACCGATCGCGTCCTCTTATTCTGAAAGGACTTCGTGGCTTGTGACTTCCACGCCTGCCGGTCCTTCTCGAGCTTCTCTCCCTCCTCAAGGACCCTGAAGAGGAGAAGAATACGGTAAAAGTAGGGTTAGTAAAGTCACAGCAGCGCATTGTAAGTATGGCTTACTTAGTCAAGGACGGAATGGGACTGGGAAGTGCTAGATCATCTTGAGCAAAGCTCTTTGGCCGGGGAGGCCTGAGCATCTCTTCAGCGGGAGGCTGTGTGGGGGGCGCTGCATCATTACGCTCGCTTTCTTCGATTGTCGTGTGCGGCGCAGCAGGCTCCCTCGACTTAGACGCGATCGTATGCCCCCTCGGTCTGGCCTGCGGCGAATTCACATTCGAATTCGGTGTCCAACCCCCCTCCGAAAGCAGATCCGCGGCAGACCTGCTCTTCGGCAGGCGGCGCAGCGAGTCCTGCCCGCGCATACTCCCCGTGACGACCGCAAACGGCGCCTTCTCGAGCTCGCCCGCGGGCGACGGCCACACGGGGCTCCCGGGGGGGCTCACGATGCGCCTGCTCCACCACCGCGCCTTCTCTGCCTCGACGTCCTCGGTGACCTTGAATCGCGGGCGCGGGAAGAGCAGCGCGTCGCACCACGTCTCGGGCGAGAGCCAGCGCTCCCGTCCCTTGAGGTGCGCGGGGAGGGGCTGCCGTCTGGGCGGGGTCGCCTCGCCCCGCGCGAGCCCGCGCAGGTTGGGCGTGGAGAAGGACCCGAGGAGCGAGCCGCGCGGCGAGGGCTTAAGGTACGCGGGCACTTTTGGTTTGTCGCCCTGATCGGAACGGGAGAGGTGGATCCGCGGAGGGGTGGGGCGGGGGAACGGGAGCCGCTCCTGCGCGAACGGGACGGCGGAAGGGGAGACGGGGGGAGCTGCGCGAGGAAGGGTGTCTGGAGCGGAAGGGCCGAGCGCGCTGTACGCGTATGGATGTCTGCCGGGAGAGTGCGGTTGCGAGTACGAAGACGGTTCGGCGGCCAATGGGGAGAGAGGGGAGAGGGGGGATAGAGGGGATAAGGATTTTGAGTGCTGAACACCTGCAGGGGATAGGTTCTGGGTCTGCAGCTGGGGCCGTGGTCGGGATGACGGATGCTGCTCGTCCTCTGCCAGTGTACCATAATACGAGTTGTAGTAGTCGACCTGGTCCTGACGTACAGCGACCGAGTCTACATGGTCCCGCCGGCCCTTCTTGCCCTGAAGGGCAAAGTCTGTGGACTGGCTGTGTCGCAGCTCACCTTGGACCCGCGTGGACTGGGACGCAGAAGATGTAGGGGGCGTCTTCTTAGAACTGTGGCCGAACGTGAAGAAGCTCGCAAAGCTCATCCGGTTATTAGACGCCGTGGAGGTCGGGGAGGACGCATCTTCGACTGGCCTTGTAGGTCTGGGAGACTCGCCTACTCCCCCCGTGCCGTCCAGGTTAATGTAAGATGGAATCGGCGGGCGATGTGGTGTGTTCCGCGAAGTGACCCTGGAGCGCACAGAGGATGTCCCCATGCTTTTCCGCGGATGTTCTGCGCCAGGGGGACAGAGTGAGGGGTCATGGACCATGTCCGGAAAGATGAGAGCTCACCGCCTTCCCCTGTCTCTTCCGAAAATCGAACCTCATGCCCATACTTTCGGTCATCTCCCGCGCACCTCTCGTAGTAGTCCCTATCGCCAACCATCCCACCATCCTCTCGGTTCCTATCCACGGGATCTCCCCAGCTGTCGCGGTCGCGGTCGGGAGGCTCTGGAGGGGGCTCATAGGGCCCGTTGTAGGGAATGTAGTCCGAATCGCCATCTGGTTCACTCCTGCGACTTGTATCTGCACCTTTAAGCCCTAGACCGAGGCTGAAACGGGGGAGACGTGACCGAGGGGTAGCCGAATGCGTCTTCGTCGTCATTCCGGGCTGCGACCGATTATTATAAGGTATCCTACCACCGAAGTCGACATGAGCAGTCCCAAAGACGCATACATCGATTTTACACACCTTCAAACGAGTGTGCCGTAAGGGCTAAGGAGAGTTAGGCTCGAATGCCGATTAACATGCTGTCGCGAGACGCATATACCCACTCAGCCCGCAGGTCCTGCTTCGATATTGCTTGCACGACTCACCTCAGGTCAGCCAGTACCATACAGCGGCCAGTACGTGGCGTTCCTCGAGCGATGTGCGACGTCTACTTTATAACGGGGATGGAATCAGAAAGTCGCGGCCAAACTGGGGATGTGGGAATCCTCCATCGTTCTGGAGAACGCACCGTCGAACCCCGTGTATCGCTTCTTTTCCCCTGATCTGCACCTGTTGAGCGTTGCGACTGTAAGGCCTTGCGTAGACGAAACGGCGAGGGAGGTGCTCTGGTCGACGGCGCAGCTGTTCGTCTGCTGCAGCTACGGCTGTGCGACTTTCAAGTGATTTTTTGGTGCGTGGTATACTAGTCTCATATTCGGATCATCATTTTTATATGGCAGGCACAGGGCTAGTATTGAGAATGACCGAGTGACGCTGTCGGGCCCGTTATTACCTGACAGATTGTGCCCAGACGATAGCTAGTGATTAAACCAGCAATGGCCAGCAAGCACCAACTCTATCGGGGAAAAAACCTTTGGACCGTCACCTGTTGATTTTTCTTCTCGATATCAACACTGTGTCCTGCATCGTTTTGTGGCTATTTCTGTCTGCTGGGCTGGCTGGGCTGTCCTACTGTCTTGATGGATTAAATCAAGGGAAGAGATCATCTTAGCATTGTGGCAGGCTTTTTATGCCGCTGCTTTTCACTCAAGGACTTGGACCGCCTCAGACATCGGTGTCCGACATGGACTCTCGCAATAGTTCAACTTTACTGGTTTCCAGGTCAACAACGGCTCAGTTAACCGCCCGAGATCTTCTACCGTGGCTCCCCTTCCCATGCAAGAAACAAGCCCAGGGTACGCTGACTCTAATCACCGTCCTCGCAAGTGCGGGAAGAATCATTCAGGACAACAAGATCAAATCCCTACTGCTATTGATAGTCCGGTGTGCCTGCTTTCCCCCTTCCCTGGGCCTTCGCGATTCGTCCAATTCCGACGATCTGTCATCACATACCCATCTCCTATGTGTGGATCTCAGCACCTTCCTAAGCAAGTCTATTATGGCCATTGATTATCCACAGCCGAAAGATACAGTAACAGTAATAGTATGGGAAACTTAGTGGTACTCGTCTACACAACCCTGTCCAGTCGCAGCGCCTCAATAGTGACAGCTGACGGGACCCCCACAAGGATCACATCAGTCATAGAACACCAAAGCTCTCAGTTCAATCGACTCCCGGAGCGGCGCATCCGGAGGCGTAGACGGATCCTCGAACCCGGTATGCGGCGTAAACTGGGCAACTCCGTCTTTCGAATCAAAGCTGGAATCCACCAAATTCTCTGTCAATCCGAGCCTCTCGTACCCACGACCAGCGTGATACTCACCACTTGATCAACGCAAACTCATCCGGCTCCATGCCCCTCACATACTTCCACTTATGCCCCGGGTTGAACTTCACACTCATAGTCTCCCCGTCATAATCCGGGTACTTCAGCGTCGTCGGCTGGAAGTCCTTCTCCGCGTCCACGCTCCGGAAGTCGCAGAACGCGAGCGGCCAATCGAGCGCCGCGTGCCCGATTGGGCGCCACAGGTTGATGATCTGGAAGCGGCGCTGCAGGAGCGCAGGCGCGTCCGCGGGTGGCAGGTGGCGGTGGACCCGCGCGATGGAGGACGCCCTCGTCTGATCGACGTGCACGCGGGCGACAGGCTGGCGCTTGTCCGGCGTGTCCTCCGTTTCCCCCGGTCGGCGGCGGCGCACAGCTACGGGCAGCATCAGCATCTGTTGTATTTGATACGTCTGTCACGGAGTCGGGCGGGGACTTACTGTGGTCGAAGAGGACTACGCGGCTTGCGCCGGTAACCTCCTTGATCAGCTCGATGCTCTCGGGGTAGTATTCCTCTCGTATCTCGTCGTCATTGGTGAACGACTTGTGCTTCGCGGGTCGCCTGAAGAACTGGAAGCCAGCGTTGTCGAGCGTGAACTGGTCCTCCTTCCCGCGGATGTTCTCGATGTCCATCTTGTGCTCCACAGCCTCAAAGTTCGTCCGTGGTTGGGGGTTGGACGGGTCGTAGTTGATGTATCCGTACGGATGCGAGCCATCCTTGGGCGGGGAGAAGTAGAGGAGCGTCGCAGTAACCGAGTCGGTCATGATGGTAAGTGCGATTTATCGGAAACGGTGTATGTTGGCAGCTACTTGACACTGCTCAGTTCTGGGTATGTGATGCTGTACTGGATATGCTACCGCCGTACTCTTTTTATACGTCTCCGTAGCACAGTATAGGCTGACTTTGTAATCCTCAAGCATCCACGGATGACGTGCTGAAGGGATTAGTTAAACTCGGGCGGGCATACCGTCCTTAGTAATCCGCGTATAGTTCAGGATCGAACGGAGGCAGCAGTGTTGGGCCGGTTGACGCCAGTTAGTTTAGTTGTTTCGTCAACTAAGCAACTAGTTCTACAAAGTTTAAGAACCGTTGACTTTTCGTCAACCTGCCCACGGAGGTCAACTTTCCCACTCACTACCATATACGGTGAAAAACCTTAGCTAAGCGCATGAGTTCAAGACTATAGAGAGCAACCCATCATCCCTGCAATCAGAACGGGCGGGGAACTCAACATCTCGACGGGAACTGAGGAGGACTGCTGAGGACCCCGGCATATGGGTACTGATGTTTGATCCTAAGTGCCCGATTTTCGGCCCTTATGGCCTCACACATTTGGTCCGGATATGTCCGCCTCTAGGATCCGGTCAGCCCAAATTGGGCTGCTTATGTCCGCATAAATGACCTATGCTCGGGCGCCCCCCGGTGTGTCCGCCAAACGGATCCAACCTCGAAACCGGCACACGCCCAACGCTGCAACGAGTAGATCGTGACATGATTACTCCGGGATATTGTATTTCAGTCTTCCTAAGATCCACCACTGTTTCCAAAGCTTGCATTTCATTCACCGTTGCTGAGGATATACCTGGATATACACGAGACGAGCTGACAGTTGACTGAGAAGCATAAGAGACACCACTCAACCTAGTACAAGGACTACTGGGTGTGACACTTCGACGACTTGGTATGTCCGCCAGGTGATCGGACACCAAGACCGGCAAAGGCCCTTGTGTCCGCCGTGATATACCGGACATGGACCGAAATTTTGGGCTTTATGTCCGCCTAAATATCCG